TTTTTTAAAGATGGTTTTGTAAACTTAATCTAAAAAAAATTATATTAAAGAGGCACTTATTTTCTTTAAGTATACTCAGCTTCATTTTTCTCTTAGTATTTGGAGAATACATTTCACAGGTTGTTTTGTAACGTGATATATCAGTCATGTTAATGTATATGGAAGCATTCTGTTGGGTGCTCAACATAGGTGTTGGTACTGTGTTACTGCCTAACCAAGCAATTACTTGTCTCCACACATTGTAAAGGAACATGGGAGGAGGGTCATTCTTTTTAAAAATCTTTTTAGCCAATTAAAGTTTGGAGATTTTATTGGTGGGGGGGCATGTTTTGTCTTTGGTTTGCTTCCCAAGGAAGAGAAGGAATGAGATGTGTGTAGACCTCAGAAAATGCAGAACAGTTTAGAAAAAAATTTGTTTTGTCTTTTCATTCAAAGAAAATCTTTCTTTGAATGAAAAGACAAAATCAGTTCCAACCCTAAGGGAATTAAATTGTTAATGGAAAAGGTAATTAACATAAACAGAAATTTTTCTTCTATTATTGTGTGTTTTTTTTTTTTACTAATGAACTAGATTACATATCTATAGGTAACTATGATTTAAGAAGTCATTTCTTAAGAGAAAAGTTATTCTGGAAATAACATCCTTTTTCATCCACCCTCTGCCTGACCCCTAACCACACGCAGGATATGAATGATTTTTTTGTGACACATCATAGAACTTGTAGAGGCAAGTTGGTGGTAGGGTGGCATTATCTCTAATTCTACTAAAAGGAGGAATATCTGAAATTCTTGACATTGTAAGCCCCAAGAAAACAAACTTCAGTAAGAAAGACTGCTTCTCTAACTTACTTCTGAAAAATAGGAAGTGACAGAAACTTTGGAAAAAAGACACTTAGTGCCCATTGTAGTAAAAGAAATATGGCCTTCCTTAGAATCTTAGAACTCAGAGTGAGGGCGTAGAACTCCATGACTTAAGAMTCTTAAATATTCTTTGGAGCATACACAGAAGTAGCATTCAGTAGTGAAAAATGTTTATTAGGTTCAAGAAATTCAAGTATATATATGGCAAAAAGATTATATGTGTAATTGGGAGAATTACAAGTTGAAAATAAACTCACATCATGAAGTCCCCACTGGTTAATACTTGTTTTGATTGATAGTAATATTATTGTTCCATATCCATTTAGACTGAACTTGAATTATTATATGCAGTTATATAGATTGATTACTAAAGGGAATTTTTTTTCAGAGAAGGAAAGTAGAATTAGAGTTTCTGGAACATATGCAAGCAACAGATCGGAAAACTAGGGGTACTTATTCGAGAGATGAAAAACTAGACCATGTTATTATCTTCACATGTGGAAGAGTCAGTCATGTATGAGTGTATATGACTAGTGTGCCTACAGCAATCAGAACTAAGGACAGTAGGATAAATGTTACAAGGATTCAGACAGACTAACCATCTCAGCTGTGGAACTGGCTGGAAGTATCCAAGCAGTAGCTAGATTGTCATCTTTCAGAGATGTTATAGAAGGGATTTCTACATTAAGTGGGCAGTTTGACTTAACAGGTCATTATCATACTGGTAACCAAAAAAGTAGAATGGTTCCTTCAAGRTTTTGACAAGTAAGGTGCCAAAGATAAATGAAATTTTTAGGGTTGCTATTTGTATCCTTCCCACAAATGATCCTGTCAAAGACCTCTGAAACTCCTTCAATACCATTTCCTTTTTGACTATAGGCCACCATCATATTTATGGGAGATGAACATGGTGTATCTTCTCTGCCTGTGTCTTTAATTATAGATTATTATTTTCAGAATTTTTTTAATGTGAGAAATAATTAAATCATGAACAGAAAACCCCCGTATCAATTATGATCAGTCTGTTCAAGAATTCAGAATCCTTGCTGGATGCGTTGACACACACCTGTAATCCCAGCAGCTCAGGAGGCTGAGAGTAGGATCTCGAGTTCATACCCAGTCTCAGCAAC